AAATTTTGTAAGATATTTCTTTTGAGATAATCAACACACTCTATATAGATGTTAATCTGCAAAATTGATATATCTACTCTTATTGATGGGTAAAATTCACACTGAGCAAACCTGGAATAAAGTAAGTATAAAACAAATGAAACTTAGCTTTTGATTTTGGAATGTTCAGGTACCGATAACAAGAGAGAATTGTTTAACAAAATCCCCGTGTATCCATCTCACCTAATTTCAACAATTGTTAATAGTTTAACATTCTTTTTTAATCTGTACCTTGCCTCCCAATCTATTCCTGGTATTCTGTATTGAATCTCAAAATCATATCATTTCTTCTGGAAATACTTCACTATATATTGCAAACTGATGAGGGCTTACAAAAAAAGAATGTATGTAAACTTTTACAGCACCATTATTTCACATAACAACATTAGTAATAATTTTTAATACCATCTACTATACAGTGTATGTTTAGTTGTCCCTAATTGTCTGAAATATATTTTTCAAGTTGTTTGATTGAACTAGAATGAAACAAGATACACACATTTCAATTGATTGATAACACTATTAAGTCAATCTTAAATCTATAATTATTTCTCTTTCCTTGTTTTTCCATGACAATGATTTGTTGAAGAAACTGGTAGAATCTGTATGATCTACATTTACCTCACTGTATCTCCTTCCTTTCATTTAGTATATCCTTTATCCCACGTGTTTCTAATGAAGTATAAATACAAAGGATTTAGATACAGAGGATTGGATATACTCAGGTTTTGGTATTTTTACTAGTAGCAAGGATATTTCTTAGGAAGACTTGTCTGTTTCCTATAGCATCATTGCCTATGTCTATCAGTCCGCTTTTACTGTTGCTGTGATTCATGATTTGATTCAGGTGTTGTCAGCCTGATCCGTTCATTATCAAGTTTCCCTCCAACCTTTTACCAGATGCTTTTATTAGCTATTGATGAATATTCCTAGATTCCTCTATTTCAGTAGAATTGCAAAATGGCAATCTCTAATTCCATCATTCCTTCTGCAGTCCTTACCTAGAACTTTTCTACGAAGAATATTCTTTCATCAACTCCTGAAATTCAACTTTTACATACAAGGAAGGATAAATGCTTGCTTCTTTTTGTTCAGTTTGTTTTCAAAATAATGAGTTGGTGGTCTAGGAAACTCTAAATGTGATTGAGTTTTAAAGTGTCATTATGAACTCATGGAGCTTATTTATTCGAAGGGTTTGATCCATTTCAGTCATTGTTTTTAGTAGTCAAATTGTTTCATTTTTGACTGGTAGACCTCTAAGATTTGCTCCTGTGTCCTTTGATTTATGCTGGTATTTAAAAAAAGATGTTATTGCTTTTTGGCTCAAGATTTCCCAGTCTCAGATTATACATTTTGTGCTCTAGATGTTATTTATTTGAAGAGAACTGATTAGTGGGGAATGGAATTTATAGACCATAATCTAGGTGCTAAGAAGCTTACTCTTTCTGAGTTGTTACTGCTCCTAGATCTTTGAAACTTTCTTTTACAAAGGTAATGGATTTAACATATTTTCAGTATATGTTCATGCTTTTATCTTTAGAATTGTATATATTTTTGGTATAAGGAAAGCAGTATTAACACAATTCAATTAAGTTTAGCATTCCTTTGATGAGGATACATTTTTTTCCCAGGCATTATGTATGGTAGGCACTAGTATTCGATGCAATTGTGGTGGTTGCTTTATGGGAAGCAATGAGACTTACTCTTGGCATCTATGGGATGATATGTAAGAAAATAAATTTTAATTTAATAAATGAAAGAATAAATGGATAAAATGGAGACACAGCACAAAAAGGAACTAATTAACTCTTGGTAGGAGGTGTTCAAGGAATACTTCACATTCCCAAGGAAGGTAACATCTTGTGCTGGGTATTAAAGGAAGTAGATGATATCTGTTTCATTGGGTATACAAAAGATGCAGGAAAGGGACTTTCAGACAGAAGAAAAGGCGTATGAAAGATATGGAACAAGGAAACAGAACTAACAGTTTGGTGCCATTTGGGTCACCACGATTGAAGTGGAAAATGACAACAGATGAGGCAAAATCAGCAAAATTTCATATGCCAGGGTAAAGACCCTAGGCTTAATCTAGAGGCAAATGGGAAATACTGAAGGATGTTAAGCAGCAATATGAAATGATCTAATTTGCTCCTCAGAATAATCATTCTGGTAACAGTGAGGAAAATGGATTGGGAGAGGAAATGGCAAATGGGAAAGTTTGTTTTTGACTTTACAAACTTGGGCCTAGAACAGTGCTTGGCAGATAGCAGGCACTTAATATTTGTTGAATGAAAAACAAAAAGTTACTATATTAATTCAAAAGAAGTTGATAAATCTGAAGAAAAACCACACGGAAATAGAACTTATATTTTTTTGTTGCTACTGCTTGATTCATCTGCTGGCTTATTTGGTGTCTTACCATAAGATTTTCATGAACAAATCAGTAAGTAAAACAACCATATAAAAAAATAGTCAAATGATTTGAATAGTAGGCTCACAAAAGCGAAGTCTGAAGGGTAATTAGATATATGAAAACATGTTCAATTTCACTAGCAACTACTAAAGAAATGCAAATATCATTTAACTCCCATGAGATGCAAGAATATTTAAGAGTTTGAACAAAACTCAATCTTGACCAGGAATGTTGAATTGTTGGAATTCTCACGTGCTGTTGGTGAGAGTGTAAATTGGTGAAATGATTATAGAAAGTGGTTTGGTGGTCAGTAGTCATTAAGTCAGAAGATGTACATGTCTTTTGACTCAGCATTTCCACTCAAATATAAACCCTAGAGAAATGCTCATACCTGTAGAGACATGTTCAACAATGTTGATCACGGTGTTGTTGATTAAATGAAAAACTTTGAAATAACATAAATATCTATCTGTAGGATAATGGATAAATTGTGGTATATTTGTACACCATATACTATTCAGCAGTGAAAAATAAACAAATTAGAGCTATGTAAATACAACAGGAAAAAAGTTTAAAAAGTAATATATATATAGAGTATGATGTCACTTATATAAAGTTAATTATGTAATATAATATCACATATATGTAATAACAGTTCAAAATGCAAATTTAAGAGGCTAGTTATCTCTGAGAAGGGAAAGCAGAAGGAAAATGGGATTACGGGAGGTTACACAGGAAGCGTCACTCTTTCTTTAAAAGAAAATAAGACCATAAACATATAGCAAACAGCTGGGTGCGGTGGCTCAAGCCTGTTATCCCAGCACTTTGGGAGACCGAGGCGGGTGGATCATGAGGTCAAAAGATCGAGACCATCCTGGTCAACATGGTGAAACCTTGTCTCTACTAAAAATACAAAAAAATTAGCTGGGCATGGTGGTGCGTGCCTGTAATCCCAGCTATTCAGGAGGCTGAGGCAGGAGAATTGCCTGAACCCAGGAGGCAGAGGTTGCAGTGAGCTGAGATCGCGCCATTGCACTCCAGCCTGGATAACAAGAGCGAAACTCTGTCTCTCCAAAAAAAAAAAAAAAAAAATATATATATATATATATATATATATATATATAAATCAAAATTTTGTAAAGCTAGGTAATGGTCAAAAAAGAATTTGTTGGTTTTGTTTTTATATATTTGAAATGTTTCTAGTGAAAAATCCTTTGAGCTTAGAGAATCCCAGAATTATTTTATTCTCAAAGTAAAATACTTTCCTAGTATCTAAATAATTTTAAGAGCTCTTTATTTTGCAGATTTGACTGGTGGATTAACTCAGAAGCTATGTGATGTTTCAGAAATAACTTCGGCAGCAATGGTTCATTCGTTGCCTACGGCAGTTCCAGAATCTCCTAGAATTCATGCTACAAGAACACCCAAAACACCTCGAACACCTAGGTTACAAGATCCTAACAAAACACCAAGATTTTATCCTGTTGTTAAGGAACCAAAAGCCATTGATGTAAAGGTATACAAAACAACCAGGAACATAAGGCTTCCATTTTATATCCTTTAACATTACAGAATAATATGTTTTAATTTCTATCACATTAAAAAATGTGTGTTATAAGTTGTAATATTTCAATTAAAAATTGTATTTTACCATAGTGATATTTTCTCAGGTTAAGAAATAATTTCCTTAGTTGGGTGTGGTGGCGCATGCCTGTAATCCCAGCTACTCGGGAGACTGAGTCAGGAGAATTGCTTGAACCCAGGAGGCGGAGGTTGTGGTGAGCCAAGATCATGCCACTGCATTCCAGCCTGGGCAACACAGCGAAACTCCATCTCAAAAAAAAAAAAAGAAGAAGAAATAATTTCTTGGTTGGGTGCAGTGGTTCACACCTGTAATCCAACACTTTTGGAGGCCAAAGGCAGGGGGAAATCGCTTGAGCTCAGGAGTTGGAGACGAGCCTGGGCAATGTGGTGGGACCCCATCTCAAAAAAAAATTAAAAAACTAGCTGAGCATGGTGGCATGTGCCTGTAGTCCCAGCTACTTAGAAGGCTGAAGTGGGAGGATCGCTTGAGCTGGTAGTGCAGTGAGCCATAATCATGCCACTGCACGAAGACCCCATTTCTCAAACAAACAAGCAACAAAAAGAAACCAAAACCATTTTTACAATTGGATAGTGTAATTAAAGAAGAACAGAAAGTATAATGAAGAGTCATACTAAACTGCACTTCTTTTCATCCTTGTTTCACAAACCTCCTTATTTATTAAGTTTTGTAACTTGTGTGAGACGTTTGTTTTGTGACTTCATGTGATTTCACAATGTGTCATCTACAGTATAAAAATGTTTGAGTTCATTTATAGTCAGAGGGTTTTAATTTACTTGTAAAGTTCACACTACTGAAACTAATTGCAATGCTTGACTTTATTTTCTTCAGAGTCCAAGAAAGAGAAAAACAAGGCATAGTACAAATCCCCCTCTAGAGTGTCATGTTGGTTGGGTAATGGATTCCAGAGACCATGGGCCAAGAACATCCTCTGTCAGGTACTATATTTGTCAAACATTACATTTTTGTTCTTGATCTGAAGTTTTTGAAAACTGTTACTAATTAGATATTTCAAAAGATTTAAAAATTAATATGTTAGCAAATTATAGAACAATGGAAATGGTACAAGGAAGCCAAAGAAGAGGTACATTTTACAAGGATATTAAGGAAATAATCCATTTGGACAGTTTTTCTTCCTGTTAAATATTTTTTCACAAATGTGAACTCTTAGATTTATAGACTATTTAGGTCTATGAAAGTTAGTATCTTTGAAAAGATCACAGAGTCTTAGTGACATTTAATATATTCTTAGTAGATATTTATTGAGGACATTAATTTGCTAAACAAACTACTCAAACTATGTAAAGGATATGGAAACAAAACATGATTTTGCTTCCCACCCCCTTTTTGGGAAATAATTTAGATTAGCTGATTATTAGCAGGAAGTATTTTTTTTATTGGAAACAAAAAATGAATTAAAAAAAGACTAGAGCAAATCTTTTAGAGTGCCAGTGATAGGCAAAGCCATATGGTATGTTTTGTCCTTTAGAGGAGATGCAGAGGTGATATATTGCTCATTGCTCTGTGAGTCTTTCTTTTAAATAAAAATAGAGACAGAATCTTGCTCTGTTGCCTAGGATGGTCTCAAACTTCTGGCCTCAAGCAATTCTCTTGCCTCAGCCTCCTAAAGTGCTGGGATTACAGGCATGAGCCACCACACCCAGCCTGAGTTTCTTAAAAGCCATTTTGTGTATATACTAGATAGCTTCAGAATAATTATCTGATAGTTTTTTCTATTTGAAAACTGGGAAAATATGTTTTTGACTGTTTACTAGAAAAGAAGGATTAGTTTCATGAAAAGAAATGCTAGGGAGTTTATCATGATCTCAAAACCTTGAAATCTGTCTTTTTAGTGATATACATTTGATTCCTTTACATTGTTCTTAATAGTTATATTGTCCCTAAAAGATAAAAAGTTTAGCCCAGTGCGTTACTTACCTCGACTCTTAGCTTGTTGGGGATGGTAACCAGGACCCAGTGTCTGCTCCTGTCGCCTTCGCCTCCTAATCCCTAGCCACTATGCATGAGTGCATCTCCATCCACGTTGGCCAGCCTGGTGTCCAGATTGGCAATGCCTGCTGGGATCTCTACTGCCTGGAACATGGCATCCAGCCCAATGGCCAGATGCCAAGTGACAAGACCATTGGGGGAGGAGATGACTCCTTCAACACCTTCTTCAGTGAGACAGGTGCTGGCAAGCACTTGCCCCAGTCATTGATGAAGTTCGCACTGGCACCTACTGCCAGCTCTTCCACCCTGAGCAGCTCATCACAGTCAAGGAAGATCCTGCCAATAACTATGCCCGAGGGCACTACACCATCTGCAAGGAGATCATTGACCTCGTGTTGGACCAAATTAGTAAACTGGCTGACCAGTGCACCGGTCTCCAGGGCTTCTTGGTTTTCCACAGCTTTGGTGGGGGAACTGGTTCTGGGTTCACCTCCCTGCTCATGGAACAGCTCTCAGTTGATTATGGCAAGAAGTCCAAGCTGGAGTTCTCCATCTACCCAGCGCCCCAGGTTTCCAGAGCTGTAGTTGAGCCCTACAACTCCATCCTTCTCACCCACACCACCCTGGAGCACTCTGATTGTGCCTTCATGGTAGACAATGAGGCACAGATATTTCTATGACATCTGTCGTAGAAACCTCGATATTCAGCGCCCAACCTACACTAACCTTAACCGCCTTATTAGCCAGATCGTGTCCTCCATCACTGCTTCCCTGAGATTTGATGGAGCCCTGAATGTTGACCTGACAGAATTCCAGAACAACCTGGCGCCCTATCCCCACATCCACTTCTCTCTGGCCACATATGCCCCTGTCATCTCTGCTGAGAAAGCCTACCATGAACAGCTTTCTGTAGCAGAGATCACCAATGCTTGCTTTGAGCCAGCCAACCAGATGGTGAGATGTGATCCTCGCCATGGTAAATACATGGCTTGCTGCCTGTTGTACCATGGTGATGTGGTTCCCAAAGATGTCAATGCTGCCATCGCCACCATCAAGACCAAGCGCAGCATCCAGTTTGTGGATTGGTGCCCCACTGGCTTCAAGGTTGGCATCAACTACCAGCCTCCAGGTACTGTGGTACCTGGTGGAGACCTGGCCAAGGTACAGAGAGCTGTGTGCATGCTGAGCAACACCACAGCCATTGCTGAGGCCTGGGCTCACCTGGACCACAAGTTTGACCTGATGTATGCCAAGCATGCCTTTGTTCACTGGTACGTGGGTGAGGGGATGGAGGAAGGAGAGTTTTCAGAGGCCCGTTAGGACATGGCTGCCCTTGAGAAGGATTATGAGGAGGTTGGGGTGGATTCTGTTGAAGGAGAGGGTGAAGAAGAAGGCGAGAAATACTAATTATCCATTCCTTTTGGCCCTGCAGCATGTCATGCTCCCAAAATTTCAGCTTCAACTTAGCTGACAGGCATTAAAGCTTTCTGGTTAGATTGTTTTCACTCAGTTACCATGTCTTTTCCATGTGTACCTGTAGTTTTTCCATCATGTCTCAAAGTAAAGTCATTAACATAAAAAAAAGATAAAAAGTTCATATGTTCTTCTGCACACCTGTGGTATACGAATACTTATTTGGGATTTATAAGTGATTTTTCCTGGGGTTTTTTTTTCCCCCAGAGTATTTCTTTTTATTGGAGCAGTATATTTAGGTATCAACAACAGTGAAAACTGTTTAATTTACCCAATGAAGGGCATCTTGTTTGCTTCCAAGTTTTGGCAGTTATGAACAAACCTGCCATAAATATCTATACAAAGGTTTTAGTGTAGTAGATGTATTTTTAAAACCTTTGGATAAATATTAAGGAGCATGATTGCTGGATTGTATGATAAGAATATGTTTAGTTTTGTAAGAAACTACTAAACTGTTTTCCCAATTGGCCATATCATTTTGTGTTCTCACCAGTAATGTTTCTTTTTAACCTTGGTAATGTCTTGTTTTGAAGTCAACCTTGTCTGTTATTTATGTAATTTCTCCAGCTTTTTTTTTTTTTTATTGCATTTTAGGTTTTGCAGTACATGTGCAGAACATGCAAGATAGTTGCATAGGTACACACATGGCAGTGTGTTTTGCTGCCATCTTCCCCTTCACCCACATTTGGCATTTCTCCCCAGGCTATCCCTCCCCGCCACTGCTGTCCCTCCCCTATTCCCCCCAGTAGACCCCAGTGTGTAGTGCTCCCTTCCCTGTGTCCATGTATTCTCCTTTCTCATCACCCGTCTGTGAGTGAGAATATGCGGTATTTCATTTTCTGTTCTTGTGTCAGTTTGCTGAGAATGATGTTCTCCAGATTCATCCATGTCCCTACAAACGACATGAACTCATCGTTTTTGATTGCTGCATAATATTCCATGGTGTATATGTGCCACATTTTCCCAATCTAGTCTATCATTGATGGGCATTTGGGTTGGTTCCAGGTCTTTGCTATTGTAAACAGTGCTGCAATGAACATTCGTGTGCATGTGTCCTTATAGTAGAACGATTTATAGTTTTTTGGATATATACCCAGTAATGGGATTGCTGGGTCAAATGGAATTTCTATTTCTAAGGCCTAGGAATCGCCACACTGTCTTCCACAATGGTTGAACTAATTTACACTCCCACCAGCAGTGTAAGAGTGTTCCTATTTCTCCACATCCTCTCCAGCATCTGTTGTCTCCAGATTTTTTAATGATCGCCATTCTAACTGGCACAAGATGGTATCTCAATGTGGTTTTGATTTGCATCTCTCTAATGACCAGGGATGATGAGCATTTTTTCATATGTTTGTTGGCCTCATGTATGCCTTCTTTTGTAACGTGTCTGTTCATATCCTTTGCCTATTTTTGAATGGGCTTGTTTGTTTTTTTCCTGTAAATCTGTTTGAGTTCTTTGTAAATTCTGGCTATCAGCCCTTTGTCAGATGGGTAAACTGCAAAAATGTTTTCCCATTCTGTTGGTTGCCGATTCACTCTAGTGACTGTTTCTTTTGCTGTGCAGAAGCTGTGGAGTTTGATTAGGTCCCATTTGTCTATTTTGGCTTTTGTTGCCAATGCTTTTGGTGTTTTGGTCATGAAGTCCTTGCCTACTCCTATGTTCTGAATGATTTTGCATAGATTTTCTTCTAGGGTTTTTATGGTGCCAGGTCTTCTGTTTAAGTCTTTAATTCATCTGGAGTTAATTTTAATGTAAGGTGTCAGGAAGGGGTCCAGTTTCTGCTTTCTGCACATGGCTAGCCAGTTTTCCCAACATCATTTGTTAAACAGGGAATCCTTTCCCCATTGCTTGTTTTTTTCAGGTTTATCAAATATTGTATGGTTGTAGATATGCTGTGTTGCCTCTGATGCCTCCGTTTTGTTCCATTGGTCTATATCTCTGTTTTGGTACCAGTACCATGTTGTTTTGATTACTGTAGCCTTGTAGTATAGTTTGAAGTCCGGTAGTGTGTTGCCTTCTGCTGTGTTCTTTTTGCTTAGAATTGACTTGGCTATGTGGGCTCTCTTTTGATTCCGTATGAAGTTCATGTTGGTTTTTTCCAGTTCTGTGAAGAAAGTCAATGGTAGCTTGATGAGGATAGCGATGATTCTGTAAATTACTTTGGGCAGTATAGCCATTTTCACGATATTAATTCTTCCTAACCATGAACATGGAATGTTTCTCCAACTGTTTGTGTCCTCTCTTATTTCATTGAGCAGTGGTTTGTAGTTTTCCTTGAAGAGGTAGCTTACATTCCTTGTAAGTTGTATTCCTAGGTATTTTATTCTTTTTGTAGCAGTTGTGAATGGCAGTTCTTTCTTGATTTGGCTCTCTTTAAGTCTGTTATTGGTATAGAGGAATGCTTGTGATTTTTGCACATCGATTTTATATCCTGAGACTTTGCTGAAGTTGCTTATCAGTTTCAGGAGTTTTTGGGTTGAGGCGATGAGGTCTTCCAGGTATACTATCATGTCATCTGCAAATAGAGACAGTTTGGCTTCCACCTTTCCTATTTGAATACCCTTTATTTCTTTTTCTTGCCTGATTGCTCTGGCTAGAACCTCCAGTAGTATATTGAATAGGAGTGGTGAAAGAGGGCATCCTTGTCTAGTGCCAGATTTCAAAGGGAATGCTTCCAGTTTTTGCCCATTCAGTATGATATTGGCTGTTGGTTTGTCGTAAATAGCTTTTATTACTTTGAGATATGTTCCATCAATACCAAGTTTATTGAGGGTTTTTAGCATAAAGGGCTGTTGAATTTTGTGAAAGGCCTTCTCTGCATCAATTGAGATAATCATGTGGTTTTTGTTTTTGGTTCTGTTTATGTGGTGAATTACATTTATAGACTTGCATATGTTGAACCAGCTTTGCATCCCCGGATGAATCCTACTTGATCATGATGGATAAGTTTTTTGATGTGCTCTTGCAATCGGCTTGCCAATATTTTATTGAAGATTTTTGCATCTATGTTCATCATGGATATTGGCCTGAAGTTTTCTTTTCTTGTTGGGTCTCTGCCGGGTTTTGGTATCAGGATGATGTTGGTCTCATAAAATGATTTGGGAAGAATTCCCTCTTTTTGGATTATTTGGAATAGTTTCAGAAGGAATGGTATCAGCTCCTCTTTGTGTATCTGGTAGAATTCGGCTGTGAACCCGTCTGGACCTGGGCTTTCTTTGTGTGGTAGGCTCTTAATTGCTGCCTCGACTTCAGACCTTGTTATTGGTCTATTCATAGTTTCAGCTTCCTCCTGGTTTAGGCTTGGGAGGACACAGGTGTCCAGGAATTTATCCATTTCTTCCAGGTTTACTAGTTTATGTGCATAGAGTTGTTTGTAATATTCTCTGATGATGTTTTGAATTTCTGTGGAATCTGTGGTGATTTCCCCTTCATCATTTTTTTATTGCATCTATTTGGTTGTTCTCACTTTTCTTTTTTATCATTCTGGCTAGTGGTCTGTCTATTTTGTTGATCTTTTCAAAAAACCAGCTCTTGGATTTATTGATTTTTTGAAGGGTTTTTCGTGTCTCTATCTCCTTCAGTTCTGCTCTGATCTTAGTTATTTCTTGTCTTCTGCTAGGTTTTGAGTTTTTTTGATCTTGCTCCTCTAGCTCTTTCAATTTTGATGATAGGGTGTCAATTTTGGATCTCTCCACTCTTCTCATATGGGCACTTATTGCTATATATTTTCCTCTGGAGACTGCTTTAAATGAGTCCCAGAGATTCTGGTTTGTTTTGTCTTTGTTCTCATTGGTTTCGAAGAGCTTCTTTATTTCTGCCTTCATTTCATTGTTTATCCGGTCAACATTCAGGAACCAGTTGTTCAGTTTCCATGAAGCTGTGAGGTTCTCAGTTAGTTTCTGAATTCTGAGTTCTAACTTGATTGCACTATGGTCTGAGAGACTGTTTGTTATTATGTCAATTGTTTTGCATTTGCTGAGGAGTGCTTTACTTCCAATTATGTGGTCAATTTTAGAGTAGGTGTGATGTGGTGCTGAGAAGAATGTATATTCTGTGGATTTGGGGTGGAGAGTTCTATAAATGTCTATCAGGTTTGCTTGTTCTAGGTCTGAGCTCAAGTCCTGGATTTCCTTGTTAATTTTCTGTCTGGTTGATCTGTCTAATATGGACAGTGGAGTGTCAAAGTCTCCCACTATTATTGTGTGGGAGTCTAAGTCTCTTTGTAGGTCATCAAGAACTTGCCTTATATATCTGGGTGCTCCTGTATTGGGTCCATATATATTTAGGATTGTTAGCTCTTCTTGTTGTATCGATCCTTTTACTATTATGTAATGTCCTTCTTTGCCTCTTTTGATCTTTGGTGCTTTAAAGTCTGTTTTATCAGAGACAAGAATTGCAGCTCCTGCTTTTATTTGCTCTCCATTTGCTTGGTAAATCTTCCTCCATCCCTTTATTTTGAGCTTTTGTGTATCCTTGCATGTGAGATGAGTTTCCTGGATACAGCACACTGATGGGTTTTGGCTTATTATCCAATATGCCAGTCTGTGTCTTTTGATTGGAGCATTTAGTCCATTTACATTTAGGGTTAATATTGTTATGTGTGAACTTGATACTGCCATTTTGATGCTAGCTGGCTGTTTTGCCTGTTTGTTGATGCAGATTCTTCATTTTGTTGATGCTCTTTAGCATTTCGTATGTTTTTGGAATGGCTGGTTCTGGTTGTTCCTTTCTATGTGTAGTGCCTCTTTCAGGAGCTCTTGCAAAGCAGGCCTGGTGGTGACAAAATCTCTGAGTGCTTGCTTGTTTGCAAAGGATTTTATTTTTCCTTCACTTATGAAGCTCAGTTTGACTGGATATGAAATTCTGGGTTGAAAGTTCTTTTCTTTAAGGATGTTGAATATTGGCCCCCACTCTCTCCTGGTTTGTAGAGTTTCTCCCGAGAGATCTGCTGTGAGTCTGATGGGCTTCCCTTTGTCGGTGACCTGACCTTTTTCTCTGGCTGCCCTTAGTATTTTCTCCTTCACTTCAACCCTGGTGAATCTGACGATTATGTGCCTTGGGGTTGCTCTTCTTGCGGAATATCTTTGTGGTGTTCTCTGTATTTCCTGGACTTGAGTATTGTCCTGGCTTGCTAGGTTGGGGAAATTTTCCTGGATAATATTCTGAAGAGTATTTTTTAGCTTGAATTCATTCTCTTCATCACCTTCTGGTACACCTATTATACATAGGTTCTGTCTCTTCACATAATCCCACATTTCTTGGAGACTTTGTTCATTCCTTTTTGCGCTTTTTTCTCTACTCTTATTTCCCATTTTATTTCATTGAGCTGATCTTCGACTTCTGATATTCTTTCTTCTGCTTGGTCAATTCGGCTGTTAAAACTTGTGCATGCTTCGCGAAGTTCTCGTGTTGTGTTTTTCAGCTCCTTCAATTCATTCATATTCTTCTCTAAGTTGTCCATTCTTGTTATCATTTCCTCAGATATTTTTTCAAGGTTCTTAGTTTCTTTGCATTGATTTAGAACATGTTATTTTAGCTCACGGAAGTTTCTCATTACCCACCTTTCAAAGTCTGATTCCGTCATTTCATCACCCTCATTCTCCATCTAGCTTTGTTCCCTTGCTGGTGAGGAGTTTTGGTCTTTTGTATGAAGTGAGGTGTTCTGGTTTCGGGTGTTTTCCGCCTTTTTGCGCTGGTTTCTTCTTTTCTTTGTGCGTTTATCCACCTGTGGTCTGAGTAGTTGCTGACTTTTCGATTGCGTCTCTGAGTGGACACCCAGATTGTTGACGGTGAAGTATTTCTGTTGCTTAGTTTTCCTTCTAACAGTCTAACCCCTCTGCTGTATGACTGCTGAGGTCCACTCCAGGCCCTGCTTGTCTGGGGTACACCTGTAGCCACTGCGGAACAGTGAGGGATGCTACCAGTTTCTTCTTCTGCTATCTTTGTCCCAGGATGATGCCCACCAAATGTCAGTCTGATCAGTCCTTTTTGAGGTAACTCTTTGGATATACAGGGGTCAGGGAGCTGCTTGAGGAGACGGTCTGTACTTTATAGGAGCTCGAGTGCTGAGCTGTGAGCTCCGTTGTTCATTCAGGACTGTTCAGCAGATACTTTTAAGTCTGCTGCAGCAGAACTCATAAAATCCTTTTTTTTTTTTCCTCAGATGCTGTGTCTCGGGGCGTTAGGGCTTTCTTTATGAGTATCCGCTGCACTTTCCTGCCCAGCTAGGGGGCAGTCTAGTCACTATTTGCCTGCTGAGGCTCCGCCCTGTTGGCATTGGCTCCGCCCTACTGTCATGGGCTCCGATCTGTTGCCTCTGTATTGGCAGAGTCTCTCTGTTATGGCGGGTTGCCTTGGCAACGGCAGGCTGCATCACCAATGGGAGTATACCTCTGTAGGGGCGGAATGCCTCGGCAATGGTGGACGCCCCTCCCCCACCGAGCTGCACTGTCCCGGGCTCATTTGTGTCTGCAGTGAAACTCTCAACCTCGAGTGTATCAAATCGCCGCCCTGCTTATCCCTGTGGGGGTGGAACCCGCCGAGCCTGGTCACCTGGCTTGCCGCCTCAGAGCCCCTCTTTTTCCCTTTCCAAAGTTGAATGGTTGACTCTCTCCCAGGTATTTCAGTTGCCCGCTGATAGGGGACGGGATCCGCGTGATTTCCCTTGCTGCGACCCACTGCACCAGCTCAAATGTTGCCTCCCGGGAATCTCCTGGTCTGGCTCACTGTCCAAGTCCCATCCAATCAGATGGATATGCTAATCTGCCCTCCCAAATCTCAGATTGTCAGTTTAACAGGGCATCCAGACCAGTGCGCCTTGTGCAGAGTCCCGCTGCGCTGCTGCACCGGCCCCAACGGCAGTGCCAGCCGCGGCGGTGCTCCGTGTCTCTCCTACACCTGGGAATCCCCCCCGCTCCACCTAGTTCTGTGGGCAAGTAAGATTCGTCTGAAAATGCAGCCTGAACTCACCTTCTGCGCCTTCACTGAGAGCCGCAACCCCGAGCTGCTCCTACTCAGCCATCTTCCGGGTCTCTCCAGCTTTCTTTAGCTGAGTATTTGCCAATGTATCTTTGTCTACTCTTTTACTTTTAAGCAATGTCTTTGTTTTAAAGTGGGTTTCATGTAGGCAGCATATATTTGGGTCTTTCTTTGCGTTTTATAACTCAGTGTGATAATGTGTTGTTTAATCAGTATGTTTAGACCATCCACATTTAGTGTAGTTATTGATGTGGTTGGATTTAAATCTATCATTTATTTGTCTCATATATTCTTTTTTTTTTTTGAGACGAAGCCTCACTCTATCGTCCAGGCTGGAGTGCAATGGCTCAATCCTGGCCCACTGCAACTTCTGCCTCCCAGGTTCACGTTGTCCTGCCTCAGCCTCCCAAGTCGCTAGGATTACAGGCACCCAAATGTCAGTCTGATCAGTCCTTTTTGAGGTAACTCAAACCAACACCAAACCCAGATATTTTTGTATTTTTAGTAGAGATGGGGTTTCACTAGGTTGGCCAGGCTGGTCTTGAACTCCTGACTTCAGGTGATCTACTTGCCTTGGCCTCTTAACGTGCTGTGATTACAGGCATGAGCCACTGCGCACAGCTGTCTCATCTATTCTTCTTTTTTTCTCTCTCTCTTTTTTTTTTTTTTTGCTTTCTTTTGGATTGAGTTTTTATAATGATTCTATTTTATCTCTACTATTGGCTTATCAGTTATATCTTGTTTTTATTTTTTAGCGATCCTCTAGGATTTACAGGTGTATCCTGTTTTGTTGTGCTTCACATATACTGTGTTTTTCACAAATTGAAGGTTTGTGGCACCCCTGTGTTGAACAAGTTTATCAGTGCTTTTTATCCAACAGATGTTCTCACTTCATGTCTCTGTGTCACCTTTTGGTAATTCTTCCAATATTTCAAACTTCATTATTATATCTTTTTTTTTTTTTTTTTTAAAGAAATAGTCTCAGTCTGTTGCACAGGCTGGAGTGCAGTGGCACAATCATGGTTCACTGCAGTTGCAACTACGAGACTCAAGTGATCCTCCCACTTCAGCCTCCTGAGTAGCTGGGACTACAGTTGCATGCCAGTGGGCCCAGCTAATTTTTTAATTTTTTGCAGAGATGGGAGTCTCACTCTGCTGCGTGGGCTGGTCTTGAACTCCTGGACTCAAGCAATCCTCCCACCTCAGCCTTCCAAAGTGCTGGGATTACAGGCATGAGCCACCACACCCAGCTACTCTTTAGTATTTTATGGTGATCTGTGATTATTGAGCTTTGATGTTAACTGTTGTAATTGTTTTGGCACATCATGAATCATGCCAATATAAGACAGTGAACTTAATAAATGTTCTGTTTTCTGACTGCTCCACTGACTGTCCATTTCTCTATCTCTCCTCCTCTTCTTGGGCTTTCCTATACCCTGAGAGACAACAATGTTGAAACTAGACCAACTAATAACCCCACAGTGACCCCTAAAAGTTCAAGTGAAACTAAGAGTCAAAGTTCTTCAAAACTAGAAATGCCATCATTAATATGAGAAAGGCATGTTAAAAACCTTAAGATAGGCTAAAAGCTAGGCCTCTTGTGTCAAACAGCCAAAATATGAGGGCACAGTTTTTGGGCAAAATTAAAAATGCTACTCCAGATGAGAAAGTGAAACAGCTTTATTAATGATAGGGAGAGAGTGGTCTGATTAAAAGATCAACCCAGCCACAAGATTCCCTTAAGCCAAATCATAATTCATAGCAAAGCCCTGACTCTCTTCAATTCTGTGAAGACTGAGAGAGGTGAGGAAGGTGTAGAAGAAAAGTTGGAAGCTAGCAGAAGTTAGTTCATGAGGTTTAGGAAGCTATCTTCATAATATAAAAGTGCAAGATGAAGCAGCAAGTGCTAATAGGGAAGCTGCAGCAAGTTACAAGGAAGATCTAGCTAAGATAATAAATAAAAGCGGGCGCGGTGGCTCAAGCCTGTAATCCCAGCACATTGGGAGGCTGAGGCGGGTGGATCACGAGGTCAAGAGATTGAGACCATCCTGGTCAACATGGTGAAACCCCGTCTCTACTAAAAATACAAAAAATTAGCTGGGCATGGTGGCGCGTGCCTGTAATCCCAGCTACTCAGGAGACTGAGGCAGGAGAATTGCCTGAACCCCGGAGGTAGAGGTTGTGGTGAGCTGAGATCACACCATTGCACTCCAGCCTGGGTAACAAGAGTGAAACTCCATTTCAAAAAATAAAAAATAATAATAAAAAAATAAAAGTGGATACATTTCTATAGGTCTAGATTTGAAAAAAAAAAAGTGTGGCTACCTTAAACAACAGATTTTCAGTGTAGACAAAATAGCCTTCTATTGAAGAAGAAGCCAGCTAGGACTTTGATAGCTAGGGAGGAGAAGGCAATGTTTGGCTTCAGAGATTCAAGGGACAGGGCTGACTCTCTTGTTAGGGGCTAATGGAGCTGATGACCAAGTTGCAGCTATTGCTAATTTACTGTTTTGAAAATCCTAGGGCCCTTTTGAATTATGCTAAATCTACTAATCTGCTTATGCTCTATAAATAGAACAACAAAGTCTACATGGCAGCATGCTTACAGTGTGGTTTACTAAATATTTTAAGCCCACTGTTAAGACCTACTATTCAGAAAAAGAAGATTCCTTTCAATACTTCCTTTCATTGACAGTGTACCTCGTCACCCAAGAACTTTGATGAAGATATGCAAGGAGATAAATGTTCTTTTTATACCTGATAACACATTGATTCTGCAGTCCATGAATTCCAAGGAGTCATTTCAACTTTCTAGTCTTATAAGTTAGAATATTCATGTATAGTCTATTCATAAGGCTATAGCTGCCACAGCTAGTGATTCCTCTGATGGACCTGAGCACAGTAAATTGAAAACATTCTGGAGAGCATTCACCATTCTACATGCCATTAAGAACATTGGTGATTCATAGAAGGAGGTCAAAATATCAACATTAACAGGATTTTAGAAGAAGTTGATTCCTGCCCTCATGAATGACTTTGAGAGGCTCAGACTTCAGTGGAGGCTATAATTACAGATGTGGTGGAAATAGCAAGAGAAATATAATTAGAAGTGGAGCCTGAAGATGTGACTGAATTGGTGCAATCTCCTGATAAAACTTGAAGAGATGAGGAATTGCTTCTTTTTTTTTTTTGAGAGGGAGTTTTACTCTTGTTCCCCAGGCTGGAATGCAATGGCGAGATCTCGGCTCACCACAACATCCGCCTCCTGGGTTCAGGCAATTCTCCTGCCTCAGCCTCCTGAATAGCTGGGATTACAGGCACGCGCCACCATGCCCAGCTAATTTTTTGTATTTTTAGTGGAGACGGGGTTTCACCATGTTGACCAGGATGGTCTCGATCTCTTAACCTCATGATCCACCCACCTTGGCCTCCCAATGTGCTGGGATTACAGTTGTGAGCCACTGTGCCCGGCCGAGGAATTGCTTCTTATGGATGAGCACAAAGAGTAGTTTCTTGAGCTGGAATCTACTCCTGGCGAAGATTCTGTGAACGTTGTTGAAATGAAGACAACAGATTTAGAATATTATATAAAGCCGTGGCAGGGTTTGAGAGGACTGACTCCAATTTTGAAAGAAGTTCTAGTGTGGGTAAAATGCTATCAGGACAGCATCCATGCTACAGAGAAATCTTTTGGGAACAGAAGAGTCAATGTAGCAAACTTCATTGTCTTATTTTGAGAAATTGCCACTCCAGCCATCAGCAACCACCACTCTGATCAGTCAGCAGCCATCAGCATCAAGGCAAAACCCTCCACCAACAAAAAGACTATGACTTGCTGAAGGCTCAGATGATCATTAGCATTTTTAGCAGTACAGTTTTTGAAAAATTGGTACATAATAGTTGTACATATTTTGGGGGTTCATGTGATATTTTGATACATGCATACAATGGGTAATGATCAAATCAGGGTAATGGGGATATCAATCACCTCAAACATTTTTCTTTATTCTGTTCTATTTTTTTTCTTAAGATCTTTTTGTGTACCAATCTTCCAGCTATTTTGTACTATACAATATGTAATTGTTAAGTATAGTTTCCCTACTACTATACCATAAACACTAGATCTGATTTCTGGTATTAACTGTATTTTCGTACCTGTTAACCAACTGCTCTTCATCCCCCTTCTCCCTACCCATTCCAGTCCCTAGTAAGCAGTAATTAACTCTATCTCTATGAGATCTACTTTTTTAGCTCCCACATATTAGTGAGAACATGTGGTATTTATCTTTCTTTGGCTGGCTTATTTCATATAACCTAATGACCTCCAATTCTATCCATGTTGCTGCAAATGACAGAATTCTTTTTTATGGCTAAATAGTATTCCATTGGGTATGTTTATATATGTGCGTATGTATGTATGTGCATATATATACATATATACACACATGTACATACACATATATACACATACATATACTTTTCTTCATTCATCTATTGATAGACACTTATGTTGATTACGTTTCTTGGCTGTAGTGAACAGTGCTGCAGTAAACATGGGAGAGCAGCTGTCTCTTCAATATACTGATTTCCTCTATTTTGGATATATACCCGGCAGTGAGATTGCTGAATCATATGGAATTTCTGTTTTTAGTTTTTTGAGGAACTTCTATGCTGTTTTCTGTAGTGGCTGTACTAATTTACATTTACACCAACAGTATGTGAAGCATTCCCCTTTCTCTGTAACCTTACAACATATATTTTTTGCCTTCTTGATAAAAGCCATTTTAACTGGGGTGAGAGGCTTTATCATTGCGGTTTTGATTTGTGTCTTCCTGATAATTAGTAATGTTGAGCATTTTTAAACCTATCTCTTGTCCAGTTGATGTCTTCTTTGGAGAAATGTCCAGATCTTTTGTCAAGGTCAAAATGGGATTATTTGGGTATTTTTTACTACTGAGTTGTTTGAGTTCCTCGTATATTCTGGGTATTAGTCCCTTTTTGGTTAGATCGTTTGCAGATATTTTCTCCCATTCTGTAGGTTGTCTCTCCATTTTGTTGGCTCCTTCATTTGCTGTGCAGAAACTTTTTTGCTTGATATAATCTTATTCATCTATTTTTACTTTTGTTGCTTGTGCTTTTAGCATCTTACACAGAACATCTCTGCCTAGACCAATGGCCTAGAGTGTTTTCCCAACATTTTCTTCTAGTAGTTTCATAGCTTTGGGTCCTAGATTTAAGTCTTTAGTCCATTTTGATTGGCTTTTTTTTTATGGTAGAGATAGAGTCTAGCTTCATACTTTTGCATATGGTTATCTAGTGTTCTTAGCACCATTTATTGAAGTTACCGTCCTTTCCTCACTGTATGTTCTTGGTGCATTTGTAAAAAAGGAATTGGCTGATAATATGTAGATTTTTTTCCTAAATTTTCTATTCTGTTCCGTTGGTCTGTGTGTCTGCTTTTACACCAGTACCATGCTACCTTTATTACTATGGCTTTGTATTATATTTTGAATTTGGGTAGTGTGATGCCTCCAGCTATATTCTTTTTGCTCAGAATTACTTTGCTTTTTCAGGGGCTTTTGTGGTTCTTTACAAATTTTAGGATTGTTCTTTCTATTTCTGTGAAGAATGTCATAGGCAGGTTGATAGGGATGGAATTAAATCTGTAGAAGTTGCTGTGTAGTATTGACATTTTAACAATGTTAATTTTTCTAATCCATGAGTATGAGATATCATTCCCTTTTTTTGATGTGACTGCTTTAATTTCTTTCATCTGTGTTTTTTAGTTTTCTTTGTAGAGATCTTTCACTTTGGTTACATTTATACCTGGATACTTTAAATATTTTTGTAACTGTTGTAAATGAGATTGCCTTCCTGATTTCTTTTTCAGTTTGCTTGCTGTTGGCATATATAAATGCTGCTGAGGCTGGGTGTGGTGGCTCACGCCTGTAATCTCAGCACTTTGGGAGGCCAAGGCGGGTGGATCACCTGGTGTCAGGAGTTTAAGACCAGCCTGGCTAACATGGTGAACCCCTGTCTTTAAAAAAATAAATTAAAAAAAAAATGCTACTGATTTTTGTATATTGATTTTGTATTGTGCAACTTGACTGAATTTATCTAGATTTTTGGTGGAGTGTTTAGATTTTTCTAAATATAATATCATATCGTTTGCAGGCAAGGATAATTTGACTTCTTCCTTTCCAATGTGGATGCCCTTTCTCTTGCCTAATTGCTCCTGCTAGGACTTACAGTACTACGTTCAATTACCATGTGGTATTAAGCCTGCAGGTAATGTACAGAATGCAAGAGTTGAGGCTTCAGAGCCTCTGCCTTTATTTCAGAGGATGTATGGAAAAGCCTGGATGTCTGGACAAAAGCCTACTACAGGGGCAGAGCCCTCATGGAGACCCTCTATGAGGGCAGTATGGAGGGGAAATATGGGGCTGGAGCCCTCATACAGACTCCCCACTGGGGCACTGCCTACAGCATCTTTGTGAAGAGGGGCCACTGTGCTGCAGACCCCAAAAATGGTAGATCCATGATCCACTAGCAGCCTGCACCCTCAGCCTCGAAAAGCCACAGGCACTCAATGCCAGCCCTTAAGAGCAGCCATGTGGGCTAAACCCTGGAAAGCCATAAGCGTGGAGCTGCCCGAAGCTTTGTGATACCACCCCTTGCACCAGCATGCCCTGGATGTGATGTATGGAGTCAAAGGAGATTATTTTGGAGCGTTAAGATTTAGTGTCTATTTCTTCCTTTTGCTTCGAGTTGTTATTGTGATAATGAGTTGTGAGATCTGGTTGTTTAAAAGTGTATGGCACCTCCCCTCTTTCTCTTCCTCTTGCTCCAGCAATGCGAAGTGCTGCTTCCCCTTTGCATTCCACCATGATTGTTAGTTTTCCTAAGGCCTTCCTTGAAGCTGAGCAGATACCAGCATTATGCTGTACTGCTTATAGAACCATGAGCCAATTAAACCTCTTTCCTCTATAATTTACCCAGTCTCGGGCATTTCTTCATAGTAATGTGAGAACAACCAAATACATCTAGCTGAAGGTTTGTTCATTTTGTTTATCTTTTCAAAAAATGAAAATGGAAACATAACTTTCCAAAACCAATGGGATTGATTTTGAAACCAACTTCATTTCATTGATTTTTTTGTACTTGTTTTAGTCTCAATTTTATTTATTTCTGCTTTGATCGTTATTATTTCTTTCTACTAATTTAGGGTTTGATTTGTTCTTTTCTAGTTCTCAAATACATCGTCAGGTTGTTTATTTGGAACTTTTTGACTTTTTTGATGTAGGCATTTATTGCTATAAACTTCTCTCTTAGTACTGCTATGCTGTACCCCATTGGTTTTGGAAAGTTATGTTTCCATTTTCATTTTTTGAAGACATTTTGAAATTTTCTTCTTAATTTATTAATCTATTGATCATTCAGGAGCATGTTGTTTAAATTCCACCTATTCGTGTAGTTTCCAAAAATCTTCATGTTATTGATTTCTGTTTTTATTCTGTTGTAGTCAGAGAAGATACTTGATATGATTTTGGCTTTTTTGAATTTGTTGAGACATGTTTTATAGTATAACATATGTTTTATCCTGGAGAGTGTTCCATGTGCTAATGAGAAGAATGTATTCTGCAGCAGTAGGTGACATGTTCTATAAATGTCATTAGGTCCAGTTGGTCTAGGTGTAGTTTAACTTCATTATATCTTTGTTGATTTTCTGTCTGGATGATCTGTCCATTACTGAGAGATGGGTCTTGAAAGTCTCCTGCTACTATTGTATTATAGTCTTTCTATCCTCTAGATTTATTAATGTTTGTTTAATATATTTGAGTGCTCCAGAATTGGGGGCATATATTTATAATTGTTATATCCTGTTGCTGAATTGATTCCTTTATCATCATATAAAGGACCTTCATCATCATAAAAAGGACCTTCCTTGTCCTTTTTTTTTTTTTTTTAACAAACTTTGACTTGGTCTATTTTGTTTAATATAAATATGGCTACCTTTTTTTTTTTGGCTTCCATTTGCGTAGAATGTCTTTTTCCATTCTTCACTTTCAGTCTATGTGTGCCTTTATAGTTGCTGTGAGTTTCTTATAGGCAATATATAGTTGGATCTTGTTTCTAAAAGTTTTTAAAAGTTCACTCAGCAATGCTTATATCTTTTGGTTGGAGAATTTAGTTCATTTACATTCAGTGTTATTATTGATAGATAAGGACTTACGCAGTATTTCATTACTTGGTTTCTGGTTGTTTTGTAACTCTTCCTTTCTTCCTTCTTGCTGCCTTTGTTTGTGATGAAGTGGTTTTTCTCTGGGAGTATGTTTTAATTCATTGCTTTTTATTTTTAGTTTATCTGTTATAGGTTTTTGCTTTGTGGTTACCATGAAGCTTACAAAAGCCATAGATATAAGTTATTTTAAACATATGACAACTTACTTTGATCACAAAAGGAGAGAAATCAAAGGAAAAACCAAAAAACTCTACACTTTAACTCTATCCTCCCACATTTTGACATTTTGCTGTCTTAAATTACATCTATTTATATTCCTTATCTCTTAACAGGTTGCTGTTAATATTTTCAGATTTATCTTTTAGTCTTCATACTAGAGATCTGAATGGATTACATGTAACAATAATTACTGTATTAGAGTATTCTGAATTTATCTACTTTTACCAGTGAGTTTTATACCTTCAAATATTTTTGGTTTTGCACATCAAATTTTGTTTTCTTTCAAATCAAGGAACTCTCTGTAGCATTTCTTGAAAGATGGGTCTAGTAGTGATGAATTCCTTCAGCTTTTGTCTATGAAAGACTTTGTATCTCCTTCCTGTTAGAAGGATATGTAAATTACATATCCTTCTAACAGGAAGAAGATTTTAAAAGTTTTAATGTAAAGTTTCAAAAGTTTTAATGTAAAGTAAAAATGTAATTTAAGACAACTTTTATCCTGTAGCACTTTGAATGTGTCATTCTACTCCCTCATGGCCTGTTCGGTTTCTGCAGAAAAGTCTGTTGCCAAAAACATCAGAGCTCCTTTATATGTTCTTTTATTTCTTTTCTCTTGCTATTTTAAGAATCTTCTCTTTGTCTTTCACGTTTTCAGGTTTGATTATTATTTGCCTTGGGAGACTCTTACTTGGGTTGAATGTTGATATGGTTTGGCTCTGTGTCTTCACCCAAATCTTATCTCGAATTGTAATTCCCATAATCCCCACATGTCAAGGGATGGACCTGGTAGGAGGTGATTGGATCATGGGGACAGTTACCTCATGCTGTTCTTGTCATAGTGAGTGAGTTCTCACAAGATTTGATGGTTTTATAAGTACTTGACAGTTCCTCCTTCACACATACTCTCTCTGTCTCAGCTGCCACGAAGTAAGAAGTGCCTGCCTCCTCTCCCACCATGATTGTAAGTTTCCTGGAGTCTCCCCAGCCATGTGGAACTGTGAGTCAATTAAACCACTTTCCTTCATAAATTTACCCAGTCTCAGGTATTCTTTATAGCAGAGTGAAAATGGACTAATACAAATATATTTGGTGATTTCTGACCTTCTGTACCTATTTATATCTTTCTCTAGATTTGGAATGTTTTTGGTCATTATTTCTTTGAATAAACATACTACTCCTTGCTCTTAACTCCTCATTGAATGCCGGTGGCTCTCACATTTGTTCTTTTGAGATTATTCTTTATATCTTGCAGGTGTTCTTCATTCCTTTTTCTTTCTCCTCTGACTGTATTTTCCAATAGCCTGTATTTGAGCTGATTGTTTCTTCTTCTTGATACATTTTGCTGTTTAGAGCCTGTAATCCATTTTTCAGAAAATGTGTTTGAGTTCCAGGATTTCCATTTTTTAAAATTTTTATTTATTTTTTATTTAAATCTCTTTGTATTGCATTTCTCTGATAAATTTCTGAATTGCTTCTCTGTGTTATCTTGGATTTTTCTGAGTATCTGTAGAACTGTTATTTTGTTCTTGATCTGAGACCTCACACATTGCTTTCTCGTTTAGATTGGTCCCTGACTCTTAGCTTTGTCCATTTGGGGAGGTCATCGTTCTGTGTTCGCTGTTATTTCTTGTGGATGTACATCTATGGATTTGCTTTAAAGGATTTATTATTCATTCCAGTCTACTGTCTTGCTTGTTTTGGTCTTTGTAAGATATGTTTGCTTAGAAATTCTTTGCAGTTGCCTGTGAGTCCCCTAATACTATTATATATCACTGCCTCCTTTTGGACACTAGATGGCACCTTAAGCCCAAGTTTGCCTTGGCTCTCACAAACATTGGAGCACTGCCTGTCAGATGGTGGGGGCGGGAAAGGGGATACCCCCAACTGTGTGGTAACACTGGCAAAGGGTTTGTACCCAGAAGACTCATGGCTCATGCCCCCTACAGTGTGGTCCTGATGAACAGCTGCTCTGATATGGCATCTCTTTTGGCTGAAATAAAGAGAAGAATTTCAGGGATAGCGTTTCTGTTCCTGCTTCCCCACTTTCTGTAGCTGCCTACAGAGTTTTTTCTCCCTAGTAGCCCCCATAATATTACACTTCTCATAGGTTGAGGCAGGAGCAGTTTTCCTGCAAGGGAACCCTAGATAGCTGGCTGTCCTCCATCTGACTATTTCCAATGAAGAAACTGAGTCTGGGAGGAATTTTTCATGCACAGGGCCTGACACATTGGGGAAGGGGCATCATGCATAGAAAAAGCGATTTCTCTTACTGTTTGTTTGGAGTTTTTCAGTTCTCTGTGGCTCACAGATAGTATCAGTCTCAGATTTGATATCTGGGATATTGCTGATGATAAGCTTGGTGCTAGATATTTGTTTTGGGATTTCTGTGGGAGAGTGAAGCCAGATTGCTTCTACTTTGCCATTTTGGTGGCATCATTGTCTCAATAAAGGATTTTCAAATTAAGGTATGTAATTTTTTTTAGTCATGCTATTATTGCACACTTGGTAGAGTACAGTATAATGTAAATATAACTTTTATATATACTGGGAAACCAGAATATTCATATGACTTGCTTTTCTTGCAATATTTGCTTTATTGTAGTAGTCTAGAATTGAACCAGCAATATCTCTGAGACATGCCTGTTTAATTCAGCTGCTCCTTGAATCATGATAAACCCTTTGTAGCTTGAAAATATCCTAAGTTGAAAATGCATTTAATATACCTAACTAACCGAACATCATGGCTCAGCCTACCTTAAACGGCTCAGCACATTACCTTAAATGTGCTCAAAACACTTATATTAACCTATAGTTGAGCAAAATCTAACACAAAGCCTATTTCGTAGTAAAGTGTTGAATATCTTATGTAATTTATTGAATACTGTTCTGAAACTGAAGAACAGAATTGTTGTATGGTACTTGAACTCTGGTTCCTACTGAATGCATATTGCTTTTGTATGATCCTAAAGCTGAAAAACCCTAAGTGAAACCATCTTTTAAGTTGAAGACCATGTGTATAAATTTTAACTTATCCACACTCTACTGTCAAATAATCTTATCCCACTTCATGTATAGTATAAGAACTTTACAACATTAAACTTTCATTGTTTCTCCCTATTTCATTTCATTTTTTAAAATTAGAGACAGAGTCTCAATCTTTAACCTAGGATGGAATGCAGTGGCACAATCTCAGGTCATTGCAGTCTCAAACTCCAGAACTTAAGCAGTTCTTTCACCTCAGCCTCAAGTATCTGGGACTTACAGTTGTGCACCACAATGGCTGGCTAATTTTTTGGCCAGGCGCGGTGGCTCACGCCTGTAATCCCAGCACTTTGGGAGGCCGAGGCGGGTGGATCATGAGGTCAAGAGGTCGAGACCATTCTGGCCAACATGGTGAAACCCCATCTCTACTAAAAATACAAAAAATAGCCGGACATGGTGGCACATGCCTGTGGTCCCAGCTACTCCGGAGGCTGAGGCAGAAGAATTGCTTGAACCCCGGAGGCAGAGGTTGCAGTGAGCCAAGATTGCGCCAGAGCAAGACTCCGTCTCAAAAAAAAAAAAATTTTTTTTTTGTGGCAACAAGATCTTGCTATGTAATTCAGGCTGGTCTCGAACTCCTGGGCTCAAGCAATCCTCCTGCCTCAGCCTCCCAGTGTTGAGATTACAGTTATGAGTCACCACACCCAGCCCCCATTATTTGTGCTATACCTCATTATTTTTCTTTAGTCAGTTATGTGTACAAGTATATACACACACATATATGTGCACATGTGTATACACACATACAAACATACAGTTTGAGTAGATGGTTTAGCACATTAAATCCTTCATATGTATCTATTAAAATCTTTCTAAATGCCATTGACAATCTGGGAGATTTCTTTAATAGTTTCTTAATAGATATTTATTTACCTATTGTTAAAATGCACACGCTGAATGAAAAGACCCCAACCCCCCGCCCAAACAGGCTTTGTATGAGCAACATGGCTGTTTGTTCACCTTGTTGCAGGCGGGCTGAGGCCAAAAAGGGTGTCAGCAGAGAGCAGTGGGATAGGAGTTGGTTTTATAGGTTTGGGGTAGGCAGTGGAAAGTCACAGTTTAGGGTGGCTTTTGCAAGCTGGGAGGGGGTCGTTGGGTGTGGAGCCCCAAGGTTAACCATGTCAGTTACAAAGTCCAATGGCCTTATCAATTGGGGCGAGAATAACAAACATTAGAGAATGTCTTAAAGTTAAGTAGGCATTGCAGGGGTTGATCCTTTCTTTCTCTTTTCGTGGTCTTCCAGTTTTGATTTTCCAGGAACTCATCTGGAGTGTCCGTGCAGGTCAGAGAGGTTAACATGGCATCCATGGGGCCATCAGTCGGCCTAAAAGACCTTACATTCCTGTCTTTTTGTATTAATAATATAAAAAAAAAAAGAGATGAAGAGTGGAGGGCAGTGGAATATCAGGAAGGCCGACACAGAGGGGTGATGGGGCGATGTTTCTCAGGGCTTCTTTGAGTGGGATTGGGGGTGGCACAGAAACCTCAAAATGGGAAAGAATTTAGACTGCTGGGAAATTTTGGGGCAAGAGGTGATATTGTGGGGTTGTTAGAAGGAACATTTGTTGTATTGATGGATTGCTTATTGCTTGTATACGATTTTGTAGGAATTGAGAGATTAATTGGAAAACACAGGGTCCAAATAAGAGGAGAAAGATAGTATCGGAGGACTAGGGATTGGAAGAAGCCATGACTCCCAGTTAGAGTGTCCAGCCAGTCCAGCCAGGTTTAGTTTATTGATGGCATCACGTATGAGTCTGGACTGGTTTACATAAGAAAAATTGAAAGGGCTGTTTTCCGGCCATTTGGATTGAGGCCAGGCCGTGTTACAGAGATGTTTAGGTTTCAGATCAGGCGACAGTTGAAGAGGTTTTAAGTTTTTTAGGATACAGGCTAGATGTGAAAATGTAAAATAGAGGAATAGAGGGCAGAATATTGCCCATAGTGAAGGAGATTTTTTTTTTTTTTTTTTTTTTTTTAAGAGACGGAGTTTTACCAGCTTGGTCAGGCTGGTCTCGAACTCCCGACCTCAGGTGATCGGCCTGCCTCAGCCTCCTGAAGGGCTGGGATTACAGGCATGAGCCACCGTGCCTGGCTCAAGGAGGTAAGTTTTAAGGAAAGGAGCCGAGTAGACTAGGAGAAGGAGTGAGCAGCTACCAGGGTTTTCAGTTGGTGTCCCTGACTGATTTTTGGGCTTTAACATGGGTGAGTGATTAAGGCAGGCATCCCCACAATTGACCAGACACCAAGGGGAGAGTCTTGTCTTTCCGAGTCGGTGACCGACTTCTGAGTTTTTGAGTGAGAGGGAGAGACTTGTCTCCTCCAGCTCCACATGGATAAAGAGTGTCTCTTTATCTCTACTAGAAGGAGAAAGATTTAAAGGAAAAGAGAGAGAAAGAGGGAGAGACTTGTCTCCTTGGGATTCGAAGGAAAAGAAAGCTGGGGAGAGATTTGTCTCCTCTTCTCTAAAGAGAGAGAGAGGGGAGAGACTTGTCTCCTGTTCTCTAAAGGAAAAGAGAGAGAAAGAGGGGGAGACTGCTTACTTGATCTGAAGGTGGTGGGAGAGCTGTTCAGCATACTCTGTAGAATTTGTCTCTTTTTTTGGACAGCTAGGATAGCGGAAGAAATCTGGGCTTGGGAAGGGGATACACAATACCCCTTTGAATATAGATGCTGAAGAAGCAGGTGGGTGAATTAAAAGGCCATGTTGCAATAGATGGGTGATAAAGCCTGTTGTGGGATGGGGTACTGGTGCTGGGCAGGGTAAGTGTGATTAGGTTTTAAGGGGATGACGAGAGGTGAGTGACTTACAGCAACAGATGAGAAGGTGGTGTCCTGCATACTAGGGTTAAGGTAGGGGGACATAAGGAGAGCTATCGAAGGAGATACGGGTTTGGGGAGGAGGGCGACAATGAGGTGTGGCTGTAGCCCAGGAATAGTTAAGGAACAGACAATTTTGCTAGAATACCTTGGCCTAACAGGGGAACTGGACAAGTGGGATGATTAGGAAACAATGTTGAAAGGAGTGCTCGCCTAATTGACACTAGACTTGGGGAGTTGTAAGAGGCCTGGAGGCCTTGCGGTCAATTCCCACAACAGCTATGGAGGCCAAGGAGACAGGTCCTTGAAAAGAAGGCAGCATGGAGTGGGTGGCCCTGACATGATTAAGAAGGAGATGAACTTACCCTCCACTGTAAGAGTTACCCGAAGCTTGGGGTCCATGATGGTCCAGGGGGCTTCCAAGATGTTCAGGCAGCGTCAGCCTTCAGCCACCAAGCTCAGGAGATGTGGGAAGGATTCAGTCCGAGAGCTTTTGGTTGGAGCTCCAGGAACTCTGGGAGCAGCGACGTGAGTCAGACAGTCCGACTTTCCATGGGGCACCCCCTGCATGGATGGGGCAGGGCTTAGGAAGAATCCTGGACTGGGGCATTCCTTGGCTCCGTGGCCAGGTTTCCGACACTTGAAGCAAGGTCTGGGAGGGGTGGCTGTAATCCCAGCACTTTGGGAGGCCGAGGTGGGTGGATCACCTGAGGTCAGGAGTTTGAAAGCAGCCTGGCCAACATGACAAAACCCTGTCTCTACGAAAAATACGAAAATTAGCCAGGCATGATGGTGCATGCCTGTAATCCCAGCTTCTCAGAAGACTGAGGCAGGAGAGTCACTTGAATCTGGGAGGTGTAGGTTGTAAGGAACCGAGATTGTGCCACTGCACTCCAACCTGGGCAACAGAGCAAGACTCCATCTCAAAAAAAAAAAAAAAAAAATAGTGCAAAGGACTTCAGTAGACAGTTTCCAAAGAAGATTTACAAGATATACAAATGGCCAATAAGCCCACGATAAGATGCTCAACATAGTCATTAGGGAAACACAAATTCAAAAAGCCAAAATGAAATACCACTTTATGCCCACTAAGATAGTGTTATGAACTGAATTATGCTCCCCCCACACTCCCAAAATTTATATGTTGAATCCCTAACTCCTGATGTGACTGTTTTTGGAGACAGGGCATTTAGGGAGGTAATAAGGTTGAATGAGCTTATAAGGGTAGAGTGTACTGAAGTGCAATGGCTTGGTCTCAGCTCACTACAACCTCCTCCTCCCTGGGTTCAGGCGATTCTCCTGCTTCAACCTCCTGAGTAGCTGGGATTACAGGCATGTGCCACTATGTCCAGCTAATTTTTGTATTTTTTAGTAGAGATGGGGTTTCACTGTGTTGGCCAGGCTGGTCTTCAACTCCTGACCTCTGGTGATTCATCTGCCTGGCCTCTCAACATGCTGGAATTACAGGTATCAGCCACCACAGCTGGCCTATTCTAGGTTAATATGCTACAAAAATGCTTTGTGCCTTTTTCTCATGTTTTAAAAATTATAAAAATGTATAATATGAAATTTACCATCTTAACAGTTCTTAAGTGTACAACTCAGTAGTGTGCAGTATATTTACATTGTTGTGAAACAGATCTCCAAAACATTCTTATCTTGCAAAACAAGCTTCCATTTCATATTTGTCACACACAAAAAGATGTACACTCATGAGTGAGATTTTGTAGAGTTAATTTTTTGGCTTTATCAAGGATATTTTTAAGTTGAAACTGGAATGGTTTTATTTTTTCTAATTGCAAGTGTATAACAATGAAGAATGCAGTCACAAGTAAGTAAAGTTTGGTGCCACTGCCTCAATTCACATCAGCAGTTTTATACATCATTGCTTTTGTACCATCAGTAGAAATGTCAACACAGTGGAAAGGGCTAATAACATCTTATTATTATTATGAGCATAGTTTTGACTTTGTAGACTTTGTAAAAGGTTCTTAGGAACCTTCCAACAATCCACAGACCACTTTGAGAACCACTGATTTAGATTGATGTTTTAGGAAGATCACTTTGGTGACAGGTTAGAGAAGGGAAATTGGAAAGTCAAGGAGACTCAAGTGAAAGAAGAGGAAGGTCTAAATTTGAATAGTGAGTGCAGATGAGAAGGAAAAGACAGATTTAGGAGATAGATTAAAAGTGGAATTGACTTAGAGAATTGCAGGGGTATCTTTGAGATAATGAAATTATTGTCTATCAGCCAGGCGTGGTGGCTCAAGCCTATAATCCCAGCACTTTGGGAGGCCGAGGCGGGTCACGAGGTCAAGAGATCGAGACCATCTTGGTCAACAAGGTGAAACCCCGTCTCTACTAAAAATACAAAAATTAGCTGGGCATGGTGGCACGCACCTGTAGTCCCAGCTACTTGGGAGGCTGAGGCAGGAGAATTGCTTGAACCCAGAAGGCGGAGGTTGCAGTGAGCCGAGATCATACCATTGCACTCCAGTCTGGGTAATAACAGCGAAACTCCGTCTCAAAAAAAAAAAAAAAAAAAAAAGAAATTATTGTTTATCATAGTGCCAGATTTTGTCCCTCATCTCCATGTATTCAGTTTACATCACTAACCTAAATTATTCAAGATAAGTTGAAAATTTCCATAGTACCATAATAAAAAAAAAAAAACCTACTCTAAATTAATAATGATTTGAAGGAAGAATGAGCTATTTAGTTGTCTGCTTCTACTTACTGTGTTAGCTTGAGAGTTTATGACTATCCTCTTTATCAGCTTCTGAATTTATATAAACCGTGTATTGAACATAAATAGCAGATCCGTGTGTCATTATATATGACACTATATGCAGATCTGTGTGTCATTAATTTAGGAGAGTTTTAGGGACTACAGTCTTTTCCACTGCTCAGACCCCCAATAATGGAAAAAAAAAATAGTACAAATTGATTCGTATAGTGGGTTCTTAATTTTACATTTTGAAAGCTTTTTTCCCCTTCCTCAAACAGTACTTCAAATACTTCACCTTCAGAAGGTACACCACTAGCCGGAAGTTATGGATGTACTAGTCATTCATTCCCAAAGTTCCAGCATCCTTCTCATGAACTTCTGAAGGAAAATGGCTTTACCCAACAAGTATACCACAAGTATCGTCGAAGATGCCTTAGTGGTAAGATGCTTGTCCTTTATCTATTTAATACATTTAAAATTCAAATATAATTCTAAAAAATTAGAATTATGTCATTTAATGTCAGGTTAAGATATTCTTTTATTGTTAGACTATAGTTTTACCTTAAGTTAATGTGTTTATATATATTCTTTGTTCATGTACTTTATAACTTAGACACATTAGGAAAAAAAATTAATATACTCGGCTGAGCACAGTGGCTCATACCAGTAATCTCAGCACTTTGGGAGGCCAGGGCAGGCAGATACATCACTTGAAGTCAGGAGTTTGAGACCAGCTTGGCCAACATAGTGAAACCCTGTCTCTACTAAAAATATGAAAATTAGCTGTAATCCCAGCTACTCAGGAGGCTAAGGCAAGAGAATTGCAGGAACCCGGGAGGGGGAGGTTGCAGTGAGCGGAAACCATGCCATTGCTCTTCAGCATGGGTTACAGAGCAAGATGCCATCTCAAAAAACAAAAAAAAATTAATATACTCTTCTTGTTATTATTGACAGATATTTATAATTTAAGCAGTGAGTCAGAAAATGGGTTAATATTTGTCACCTATTTGAGCAGTCCTCAATCTTTTCGGAACAGGGACCTGTTTCATGGAAGACAATTTTTCTATGAGGAAGTGGGTGATGGTTTTGGATGAAACTGTTCCACCTCAGATCTTCAGGCATTAGATTTTCATAAGGAGTGTATAGTCTAGATCCCTAACATGTACAGTTCACAATAGGGTACCAGTCTGTGGCCTGGGGGTTGGGGATTCCCTGCTGTATTTAGAAGAAATTGAAATAAATTTTGAGGATTAATATGGTTGAACTTTCTTCATTTTATGTATAACATCTGCTATCTTGATTTAGAAACTATGTTTAATAAAATAATATTTTATTTAACTTTTTCAGAGAGAAAACGCTTGGGAATTGGTCAGTCCCAAGAAATGAATACCCTCTTTCGTTTCTGGTCCTTTTTCCTCAGAGATCACTTCAATAAAAAAATGTATGAGGAATTTAGACAACTTGCTTGGGAAGATGCAAAAGAAAATTACAGGTCAGATATTTTCTAATATTTTTACACTTCGAGGGAGTTTTTTGTTTGTTTTTCTTTACCCAGGTAGATCCAATAGAGGGAGACTTTAGAAAATTCTACTCGTGAACCCAACAATAAAAAATAAAAAATAGGCCAGGTGCGGTGGCTCACGCCTATAATACCAGCACTTTGGGAGGCCGAGGCGGGTGGATCATGAGGTCAAAAGATTGAGACCATCCTGGTCAACAAGGTGAAACCCTGTCTCTACTAAAAATACAAAAATTAGCTGGGCATGGTGGCGCGTGCCTGTAGTCCCAGCTACTTGGGAGGTTGAGGCAGGAGAATTGCTTGAACCCAGGAGGCGGAGGTTGCGGTGAGCCGAGATCGCGCCATTGCACTCCAGCCTGGGTAACAAGAGCGAAACTCCATCTCAAAAAAAATAAAAAATAAAAAGTAAAAATTTTTTAAATGAGTACTGAAGTAGCCTGATTTTGAACTGTGAAAGCAGTATACAGCGTAGATGGAGGGAGGGCTGTATTAGCTTTCTATTTCTGCATTGCAAATTACCCCAAAACCCTGTAGGTTAAAACAGTGAATATTTGTTAGTTCAGTTATTAGCTGGGTGATTCTGGCTGATGCTTTCTCATGAGCTTGCAGCCAAGGTGTTGAAGGGGGCTACAGTCTCTGAAGACGTGGCCTGGGCTGGAGGATCTTCTTCAAGCTCATTCACATGGCTCTTGGCAGGAGGCTTCAGTACCTTGCCACGTTGACCTTCCCTAGGAAGGTCACCCTGAGTGAGTAGAGCTTCCAGAATGGAAGCCTCAGTGTTTTATACAACCTGCATTTGGAAGTGGCATACCATTATTTCTGCTATATTGTATTGTTGATGCAGACCAGTCCTGGAACAGTATTGGAAGATACTACACAAGGTTGTTAATACCAAGAGATGGGATCATTAGGAACCATCTTAGAGGCTGGCACAAGGGCTGAGGGAAATTACAAGACTTTTCTCTCCCATGTTCTCACCATTACAGACTTCCCTTGGATGGATATATACATACCCCAATTGCTCAATTGACATATTCTTAGCGCTAACCCAGTTCTTAAGATTTTAAGAAAAGAAAAAGCAAGGCCTCTTACAATATGTCCCTTGACTCACCTTGTCTAATTTTTTCCCCACTTCTCCTCTAGCACTCTGGGCAACAGTGGTACTGAACTACATGTTCTTTGAGTGAACCAAGCTCTCTAGCCTCTGGACATCTGTGCATGTTCTTACCTTTGCTTCTACTTCTCTTATTCCTCCCTGTGCTTTTCTAAATCCTGTTCTTTATGTTCCAGCTTAGACCTTGCTTTCTTCAGAAATGTTCAGGGCAAGTCTTGAGAGTTAGCGTAGGGCTGAGTGAGGGCAGGCCAAGAGGGTGAAAAGGAACATGGCATGGACTCATAAAGGCTATTTGTTCATGGCGAAAAGGAGAAAGGAACAAGAGATGGAGAGAAGGGAAAACGATGATTTTTCATCCAATCATATTTACCTAAATTTACCCTTCTTTAAGTTCTGAAAATAGATTCCTCTTGTAAATCTCAAATATATATTATCAGATATGATCTTTGAAAAGAATACAAGGTAGTACAAATAAATTTTTCTAATTAAAAACAAAATTTTGTGTTGACTTATCTAAAAACAAAGCATGTTTAATTTTTATCTGTTATTTAGATCAGGAACAGCAGATACATGGTATATATACCTCTATTTCTTTCTCCTCTGTCCATTACTGACATTTCTGATCAATCCCAGTTATATTTTATGTTTTCTTACCTCACTTTTCAGATTTATACTCTTTCTTATGACTTTCATAGCTACTGCCACTTTACCAGAGTTGGCATAAAAGGCAAAATTTGCCATTCCTAATCTCACTGTTCCTATTCAAACTGTGGTTTGCCACCTCTTCGTTGATCATAAAATCAATTTAGTGGTTCTAATGTGCTTTAGAAAATAGAGTAGAAAATACCAGACTGTACTGAGCATAGTAATTCATACATACAAATTTAATTCATACTCACATACACATGAATTTAATAATTGTTTTGTAAAACATGTTTTTATAAACATATATTTTTGTATAGAGAGATGTGCATATTGATTTAGTTATAAGGTAAAATATTTTTCATAGTATTGGACCTAGTCAGAAAAGTTTGAAAGCCATTGTTCTAATTGATCTCAGCATATTTTGCTATTTGTATAATTTCTGTCTGTTCCTTAAAACTTTCTAATAACTTCTCTGATCCCATTCCCACCCAAATCTAGGTTGGGAGTTTCTGTGCTGTGTTCCTATATACAGAACTCTGTGTATGTTTCTAATACTTTTGTAACAGTTTCCTGATTTTGATTGTTTCTGCAGTATTTACCACTAGACTGTATTAGCTACTTCTTAGGAAGAAGTGGTTAAGCACCTGAAGTCTTTGAAATCAGACCTATGTTTGAGTCTCAGCTATTAATTTACTGTGACCATGGCAAATTATAATCCCAACAGGCTCATGGTAGTTCACACCTGTAATCCCTGCACTTTGGGAGGCTGAGGCAGGCAGATCACTTGAGGCTGAAAGTTTGAGACCAGCCTGGCCAACCTGGCAAAACCCCATCTCTTCTAAAAATACAAAAATTAGCTGGGTGTGGTGGCCTGCACTTATAGCTGCTTGGGCGGCTGAAACATGAGAATTGCTTGAGCCTGGGAAGAAGAGGTTACGGTGAGTCAAGATTGTGCCACTGGGCGCCAAAGCAAGACTTTGTCTCAAATAAAAAGGTTAAATTAGGATAGATACTCTTTCATGGGGTTATTGTGAAGATTACACAAAGCTTAACACATTATGTGTAGTGAGTGCTTGAGAGATGATTCTTTCTTTTTTTTGAGACAGAGTCTCGCTCTTTCGCATAGGCTGGAGTGCACCCATCCACCACCATGCCCGGCTAATTTCTGTTTTGTTTTTTTTTGAGATGGAGTTTCACTCTTGTTACCCAGGCTGGAGTGCAATGGTGCAATCTCAGCTCACCACAACTTCTGCCTCCTGGGTTCAGGCAATTCTCCGGCCTCAGCCTCCTGAGTAGCTGGGATTACAGGCACATGCCACCATGCCCAGCTAATTTTTTGTATTTTAGTAGAGATGGGGTTTCATGATATTGGCCACGCTGGTCTTGAACTCCTGACTTCAAGTGATCAACCCACCTTGGCCTCCCAAAGTGCCAGGATTATAGGCGTGAGCCACTTTGGCCAACCAGATGATTATTGTTATTAGGAAGATAGTTGCTAATTATATCCATTGGTTGAAGGTAGTAATAATGTGATTTCAGGAAGGAGGGAGAGAGCTAACATGTCTTACATCTTTTCAATGTGCTAGCCCTGGTCTAGAAGCTTTACAAATTATCTATTTTTGAAAACTAGGATCCAATTGACTCCAGTTTCAGTGATATAATTACAAGCCT